AACTCCTGAGCTCAAACAATCTGCCCGCCTCGGCCTCCCAGAGAGCTAGGATTACAGGCGTGAGCCATCGCGCCCGGCCTATTGGGGTTTCTTAATTTTTATTTTGCGAACTTAAAAACATTTGAAAAATTTAAATTCCTACCAGTAACATGTGACTCCCTAGTTGTCGAAGGACCCTTGTGGCTCTTGTGATGTGTTCTATGGCTTCCTTGAAGAACACCATAGGATGAGAAATCTAGCAGAGAAATTATGACAAATAAACTGATTACAGGTATTAAAAAATCAAATGTGTATTGTAGTTTTACATACAATTTACTTATAGGAATGAAAATGACTATTCTAATAACCCAGTAATCTAGATCCAGTAAGCTGGTTTGTATTAACATTTAGGGAAAGTAAATTTGTACAATAGGGTTGTTGCTATGCTAATATTCTTGTGAGTGATATCAGGAAGGTGGTGGTAGGACTGGGGGAAGAGAATGAAGAGGAGAACAACAGAGCTAGGCTGCTTTTCAATTGTTCTGTCTTGGCAGGTAAAGGACAAGTGGTGAGAGGAAGAGACTTAGGGAATTTGTTTCTGGTATCTGTGATTTTGTTGGTGTCTTTGTTCCAACACATCTCTGCCCACAACAAAATGAGAAAGATGTAAAAAGCCACAACCATTTTGCTGTCGTTGCTACTTTGCACCTTGTTGCCACACTTTCTTTTACATTTTTTAACTTCATCAACTCTATTCATTTCACTCCCTATAGCCTCAGTTATGTACCTTGTCTTTAAAATTACACTCAATCAAGTGAGACAAAATAAGATGAAATAATATAAAACTGTACTTCTAATTGTCTGCTTTCAAATATGAAGGCGTGCTTTTCCCCTAATCTCTCTTCTGTCTCTCTCTCACACGCACACATCTTAAAAATATTTGATTTGATGCACATATATATGTATATGTGTGTATATATAAATAAATAAATATGGACATATATAACACTTCTCAGATTTTTACATAGTATATGGCTTTACCTCCAAAGGTGTTAAACCCAACTTCATTTGGAATTCATTAAGTACATTCTCAAGTTTATTATAGTCATTGGTATTCTGATAGATCTTTTTTCTATGAGGCTTGTTTGTATCCAAGAAGTCCACGAATACAGTTGAGTCATGCATCAGGTCTTCTTTGGTCCATTGAATCTATTGCAAGATAAGAATTTAACAGTATTTTTAACAGCACAATTCTACTTGTCATCAAAACTAATATCATATAATTCTATCAGAGAAGTTCCTGGCACCATGGATCTAAGACTCAGGAGCTCTTAACCTTTTTTGTGCCATGAATCCCTTTTGGCAGTGAAGCCTGGGGACCCTTTCTCAGAATAATATTTCAAAATGCATATAGTAAAATATGAGGATTACAAAGGAAACCAAATATATTATAATACAATTCTATCTAAGAACTCTTTGAGGGTCTGTGATCCCAGGTTAAGAACCCCTGTTGCTGGAAATATCTTGCAGTTCCACTGACAATTTGAGAAAAAGAATCCTCCCTTAGTCAATCGTGAATTACCACCACAGTTTTGCAAGTTTCCACGCTTCTTTCCTGGTCTACTTGGCAAACTCTTGCCTATCTTTCATACTAAGGTCATGGGCTATCTCTTCTTTGAAGTCTGACCATTTCCCTTGCCCCTAAAACCAGATAGATTAAATTACTCTTTCCTCCCTTGTTCCACCAATGTATTATTATGTCAATAGGTCTGTCCTGGCACTTACAGAAACGTGTTACACTTGCTAGGCTGTAAGGTGCTTGGAGGCAGGGCCCACACTACTATGCAGTCCTCAGCACTTACCTCACTTGGTATCTGGCACGAGAATTCTTGGTAGGCATTCAGAAGATGTACGTTTGGCAAAGGTTAAATGCAGGTTGAGGGGAGGTATGGCATGATAATTAAGAGAATATCTGTCATCAGATTATCTACCACTTAACTAGCTGTGTGAACTTGGGCAAGTTCTTAACCTTACTGTGCTTAGTTTCTTCATCTGTAAAATGAGGATAATAACAGGACATACATCAGAGGGTGTTATGAGTAAGATTACAGTGAGTAATGATATGTAAAGCTCTTAAAACAGATCTTGGCACAGTGTATTAATTATTATTAGAGTTATGTTTTATTTTTTTAAAAAGTCAACTAACCAATTAAGTGATAGCATATAAACCCATATTCTCATGGGAACAATTTACATCCTTACATACTTAAGGGAAGTGTGGTTAAGGTATTTGTTTTTCTGTGCCTGGCTTATTTCACTTAGCACAATGCGCATGAGCTGAATCTTGAAGGATGGCCGGGAGTGAGCCAAGGGAAGCACCCGCAGGTGTAAAGGAAGAGGCCATACAGACTATGTTGCATTCTGGCTAGAATAAAAGGGTAAGATGTGCAGATTTCTGGCATGGATGGAGGCTTGGACAGTAATGCCAGTCACTGCAGTAGGAAATACCCAGGCAGGCACCTTGATGGTGGAAAGGTGCAATGGATGGTGGCTGAGAATGGTTTTACACATGTTGAGTATGAAGTGCCCAGAGTAACATGAGGTAGATTTAGAAGTCAAACCAACGTTTAACTCTAAAGTTGACACTCTTTCCACCAAACTACCTGCCTGTATTTGAATTGTAGATATAAAGTCTAGTTCTTTTCAGTAGTATGATAGCTTACGTTTATTGAGCACTTACTACGTGCCAGAAACTATTCTAAACATTTTACACAAATTAGTGCTATTAATTCTCACCACAGTCTTATGAGATAGGTACGATTACCACCCTTACTTTAGAGATGAGGAAACTGAGACACAGAGGGTCACTTGCCCAAGGGCAGCTCATAAATGGAGGAGCTGGGTTTTCAACCTGGGCAGCACTTGTGTTTACAATCTCTATGTGCAACTGCTGTTCAGGCTGTTAGGGAAGAAAAGTGAGATTCCAGTGTCTCAGTGAAGGAAATTAGGGACAAGATGACTCTGAAGCATCACAAAAGAGCATCCCCAGGAGGCAAAGGAAGAAGAGCTGCACACTAGATAGAGACCTGGAAGATTCTAGACAAGTGAGTGAAGGTGGTGGTGGATGTGGAGGTGGAAAAGGAGTTAAACTTGGGTCCTAAGGGAAAGATTATTATGCCAGATGTTAAAAAAAGATTGAAGGGTACGAACAATATGAATCATATCAAGAAGGGTCTGGCTGAAGAACAGAAAACTTGGACTAAAAGAAAGTAATGATGGGAGCGTCCAGAAAGAATTTTCTTTTTAATAGATGGGTGTCACTATGTTTCCTAGGCTGGCCTTGAACTCCTGAGCTCAAGGGATCCTCCCACCTTAGCCTCCTGAGTAGCTGGGAATACAGGAATATGCCACTTTGCCTGGCTCCCAGAAATAATTTTAAAAGCTTTCTGAATTTGTGACTTATCTAAAAAATATGTATGTATACATAAACACACACACATATATTCACAGACATAGATTCACATGTAGTCATGGGCTACATAATGACGTTTCAGTCAATGAAGGGCCACATATATGACAGTGGTCCCCTAAGATTATAATGGAGCTGAAAAATTCCTATCACCTAGTGACATCTGGCCATCCCGATGTTGTAGCACAACACATTACTCACGTGTTTGTGACGATGCTAGTATGAACAACCTACTGAGCTGCTAGTCATATAAAAGTACAGCACATACAATACACAGTGCTTGATAATGATAATAAACGACGGTGTTATTGGTTTATATATTTGCTATAGTATATTTTTTATCATCATTTTAGGGCGTACTCCTTCTACTTACATAAAAAAAGTTAACTGCAAAGCAGTCTCAGGTACATCCTTCAGGAGGTATGCCAGAAGAAGGCATTGTTATCATAGGAGATGACAGCTCCATGCATGTTACTGCCCTTGAGTATTTTCCAGTGGGACAAGATGTGGAGGTGGGAGAGTGATATTAATGATCCCTACCCTATTTAGGCCTAGACTAATAATGTATGTGTTTTTGTCTTAGTTTTTAACAAAAGAGTTTCAGAAGTATAAAAAAAGTTAAAAATAGAAAAAAGCTTATATAATAAGGACATAAAGAAAATATGTTTGTACAGTTGCACAATGTATTTGTGTTTTAAATTGTGTTATT